ATTTTAAAGTGAACGTTTAGGCCAGAAACTTGGAATTCTCTTTAAACTTTAGATTCAACTGTTATTTTAATATTCCGATAAAAACAGCAACACGGCGCTTTTATCCGTTTCTCAAAAATACTTATGCACGATTTATCTTGTGAAACAATTGTAGATTTGTCAAGATTTTTGATTTTAGTAAATATAGTGGTTTCTTGTTCACCAATATTTGTTGTTCTGTTTTTTTAGACTGCATCCTTATCATGTAGTTCTCCACCAAGCCTTACATGAGACAGATTTTAATGCAAAGCTGGATTACTGCAATTGGATGTTAGGTCTGCTAGAAGAACAATCGGGTATCATGTCAAAGATTTTATGAACAGACAAGGCTACGTTTAATAGTGCGGGTGATGTTAATCTGCATAATATGCATTATTGGGCTAAAGAAAATATGCATTGGATACATTTGGTGCAGGTTCAAGGTAGATGGAGTCTTAATATTTGATGTAGTATAGTTGATAGAAAGATCGTAGGTCCATATTTCTTTGATATAACTTTAAATGACGAAAAATATTTGAATTTTCTGGAAAATCAGTTGCTTGTTTTATTGGCAGATATTTCCTTACAAACAAGAAGAGATATGATATTACAACATGACGGGTGTCCTGCGTACTTTTCCAGATGAGTTTGAGATTATTTGTATGCAAGTTATCCAAATAAATGGATTGGAAGGGGAATCTCCAGACTTAACATGTCTGGACTTTTATCTGTGGGGAAGATTGAAGGACTTAGTGTACTAAACTTTACATCTTTACATATTTCTGTGGACAATGATGAAAACCAATTTGAACATTTAATTGGACATTAAGTTTTAATGATCGAGATGTTTGTATGATCTTTCACATATTTAATTTTCAGTTATAATAAAGGGTGAGTCAATACTATACTTATTTATGTTTATGCGTTTTTATTCATATCTCGAGTTCTACAAAAGCTATCAACATACGGTTTGCGCCGTTTTGTTACGACTTTAATCCAGTTTCATTACAATTTACAATAAATAGGTGTTTCCATTAAACATTTTGAAGAAAAATAAATGTTAAGTTTTTCTATTCAAAAGTACCCTCTACCCGTGACAATTAAAACTAAATTCAATTGTTTTAGAGTAGATATAAATTAAATCATCCATACTCTTTCTAATGAAGCTAATTTCGTTAAAATCGGTTGATTCAAACCAAAGTTGTAAGTATTTATCCACAAATACTTTCTCACTCTCCCCCACCCTTTACTTGAAAAAATAAAAAAAAGTGCTTGAACAAATTTGTGCGGAATTTAGGCCTCTTTCTAGTTTACTTATTTAACACTTGGTATAATTGGGCATATTTCACAAAAAACTGGTTTTCAAATTTTTATTCAAAGGTTACGCCCCCTAGCGGTTAACCCAGAAACTTGAAAGTTATTTCCAGCGATTTATCTTGACCACTTTTGCTAAGGAATTTTTTCTCCTAAAGTTATAACATGAATAGTTTCTGATATACAGCCGAGAGATCGGCTTATTGGACCAACCGGTACATACAGGTTGCAAAAATAGTTTTAAGCTTTTTTCATAATTTGTACATCAAAAGTTGTTTTGTGCAGATCGATTGTTTGATCAGAAGTAATGATATCTTCTATTGTGTTGTGAGTTCATCGGCATAAGCTATAAGAGTGCATACCCTTGGCATCTGTAGCCTCAACACCCCGTCGTACAGGACATTCCACAGGGTGGGACCTAGTACTGAACCCCGCGGAACACACTGCGACAAAGTGATGCTGGTAAATTTTTTCCTTATGGACCTGTCAGTAAAGTATATGTCAATTACATTGACAAGGTACTCAGTAACGCCCAATTTCTTCAGCCTGGACGTAATTTTTTATGATGCCGTTTTAAAGGCATTCTTGACGTCAAGCAGGATGAGAGTCACCCATCTCTTTGTATCCTGCGTGACTAAAGAGGTCACTTCTCTGACCCCATCTATCGTGGACCTTTTGGCCCCAAACCTTTTGTCGTTGACATAGCCACACAATGTCTTTCTACATGTGAACAAACATAAATTTTCCGTTGGTCCCAATGTAGCTTATCCCAAAAGGAATTGAAAATTGCCATCCCCATTTCTTCTGTGAATTGTCTGCAGTTTTTCTTGGAGGATTTTTCACATAGTTTAGAGACACAGGTGGGTCACAATTTTCTTTCACCTCTTTCGATATTATGCCGACATGCATTATCTTTTTCTTTCCGTAGTATTTTAATTTTATTTCACTTCCATTCCCTTTGATCTGTATTCTTCTTTCTTTTTTGTCTTTTTCTTTTTTGTCAGGCATTGTCAACTGAAGGTCTGTATTTTCCACAATGTTTTCTTCTGCATTTGCAATTAGTATTTCATATTAGGTTCAACCCTATCTACGATTTCTAGTTCGACAATACCTTCAAAATGACCTTAATCTTTTGTTTGGAAATTGAAACGTGTAGGTACTTGGTTCTTCATAAATAACGAAGGGCATTTGTTCAATTAAAGTTTCATCAAAAACTCCAGAGCCTGTTATATTTTTTCTATTTTTTTACTTCGTTTTCTGTCAGGAGTTAAAGAATCATGGCAGCTCTAGACATAGGATATCTTTGTAAAAAAAATTCAGAAATGTGTTCAGAAATATGTAGATAATAATAGAATATGGCACATAAAAATAAATTTGGTTGATATCGGTTTTAGATTGACCTTTCTGATAAATAAATTGATACGTTGATTGAATAAGTTGTCCTTACATGTTTTCCAGTAGTATTATTGTTAAATAAAACACAATAAAATTATTCACATGGTTTAGTCACAGAGCACATATCAATTGCTTTCTTATTCTGTGGTTTAGTTTTAAATATTCACTATGCAAAATCACAGGAGCTCTGTTCGCGTGGACACTAAAATGTAACTATTGAGATACGAGGTTATATCAGCTGTCACATTGTAATGATTTAGTTTGCCTACCACATTGGGTATCACTTATAGGGGTTTGAAAGTATGGACTGGGCAATTCTTGGGCTGGAGATAGGGTTAGCAAACAAACCGAAACGTTTGCGAACGACCACTCTTGTTTTGATCACTATAAATAATAACGAGTAACAATAACGAATTTAAAAAAGAAAAATCCTAACTAAACAATCAACTGACCACTTTGGCGATCCATCGTAGAGAGACATTCGCCAAACCCGATATAAACAAAGCATAAATGGAAATATTGCTGTTTATTCGATGAGTAAATCTCCAGGCGGCATCGAGATCAAATGCGAAATATTGATCTGCGACACAAAAAGATTGAGAATATTTTTCGATGTTTTAACATATACGAGGAGAAATCGAAATGCTACAACATGCAATGAGATATGAGGTATTGTTTTAGACGGAATATTCCTTGTTAATACTTTTTTCGACTTCGGAGATATTGCTGGGACATGCGCAATGAAATTTTAGAGTGAGTGCACCAAATAACTCATTTTCGTCTAAAAGTATAGATAAGACGTATTTTCACATCACCAACGATACATAGCATGCCTATGAAGGAGGCTGCACTTCTTAAAGCCAAGAGTGGCTTAACAAAATATATATTATTGTATTAAAATTATGTAACAATTTTAATTTTTTGTTCAATAAATATACACAAAGGTTAATACTATCATTTATGTAATCCACTTATTAGCTAACAAACTTACAATTATAGTTATAATTGATTATGAAACAAAGAAAACCAAAAAATGAGGATCTGTGAATAATCTTCGTAACTGGCTTACTGTATCAGTGGTTTTGTCAATATTTTCGTTAATCTGTATTACGTTAACTGTTGCTAATTAAATCAGCTAAAAGTGAAGTAGTTGTTTACCTACGAAGTATCAACTTCATTTTGGAATTTTTCTTAACAGCTGGTTACTAAGGATCACATACTTTGGGCTCGCTAGTGACTACTACCAATAAAACGAGCGAATAAATTAAAAGACGGACAAACATAACAAATAGGGCATACTATGGACTGCAAAAACAATTCCCCTCAAGAAATATCCAACGAAAAATTAAAATTATTATATATTTTATATATAAAACACTGCTGATGCGGTCCTCACATATGGGGCGGAAACATGACTCTAACGCGGGAGGATAACAGACTTTTGGGAATATTCGAGCGTAAGCTACTCCGCGAAATATTTATAAACGATCAAGGACAGTGGCGCAAAAGATTTAATTTTGAATTATATCTACTTTTTAATGAACCAGATTTCGTCAGGTTCATTAAAACACAACGACTTAGACGGGCCGGACACACAATACGAATGCTAACAACATGATTGCTAAAAAGCTAACGACAGGAACAGCTACAGGAAGAAAAAGGCCCCACTGCGAATTAGGTGGTTAGATGGAGTTGAGACCGACTTAGGGATACTAGAGATCCGAAGATAGCAACAAGTTGCCAGAAACCGAACAGAATGACGACTAATTTTAGAGCAGGCCAGGATTTACAGAGGATTGTCGAGACAAAGATGATGATAATAATGATACTTATCATTACCTAGTTTGGATCCATGATACTTCTACTACTTCTACTACTCAAAAAAAAAAAAATTTCGGCTACGACCCTTTTCTTCTATGCTTTGAGCGAATCTAGCAACCGCTCTCTGCTACCATACTATAATGTTTAGTAGTTATGATTTTTTAGCAAAACACCATCATAACCGCTAGAAAACTTTAATAGCAGTGAATAAAGTAGGTAATACTTATAATCATTGGATATTTGTTATCATCATTTCAAACTTGATAATGTTCTTTTTTGAGATTTTCTTTAAACGTACGAGGAATCGAATTATTTGAAAGTAACGATATTTTTAATACACTAATAAGCCGTGTCCGATTTACACTATATATTTTCCTTTACTTTTACTTAATCCTCACAATTATTTGGTGGGTTTACATATAATATCCATTTTCTGTTTGTACTTCTTGTAGGACTTTGGAACAAATTTTGAAATCTCTTAAAAAGATATATGACACTCATCCCGAATCTTTAAAGGAAACTCATCCATATATGTACACATTATTCGATAATAAAAAATTTACACAGGACGATCGTAACATGTTAGCAATAGAAGTATTTTTAGGTATGTAATTATGAATGCGTTGTTGTATAAACTAACTTAAATTGTGGCTTTTTGGTGCAAACTAACTCTTATGGTGTCTATTAATAAATTATCTTTGCTTTCTTGTAGTCACTCTACTTTGATGATGATAGTGTGTTTGGTATGGAAACTAGTCCATATGCCACATGTTTTTGAATGATTTATGTGTATGAATTAAAACTTGATTGTAACAAATTTATATTATATATCGAGACGCATGTAAGTGATTAAATAATATGAGTTCGTATATTGACTTTTGATTCAGTAACAGTAGGCGGGTTATGTTTATTGGGTGTTGCACATTACTTTTATCCAGGTTTTCATAAAATGTAGGTGAGAATGCTTTATTTTTAATACATCCAAACAGGATGTGATTAACGTTACACTGGGAAATATTATCGCAAGAACACTTTCCTAATTTTATAATGTTTAATCTAGAAAGGTGAGCAGGAACAGCACCGTGACTAGTTTTGAATCTTGTAATAGTTGCTGCTGATAGTTTGGATATGTTATAATGGAATATGTGTGGTAATTCTGTTAACGATGGTAACGTAACGTAGTGGGATGAATCTGAGTAATAATGATTATTTGATATATTCGCCAATATTTTCCATCTGTCCTGCCAGTTAAGATTTATTTTTTTATTATAAAACTTGATTAGATCTAATACTGTGTATATTTGTTCTTGTATACCAGAATGAGTAGAAACCTTAGAGATCTCGTCTACTATTTCGTTACCTTTTATCCCGGTGTGACTTTTTGCCCACATAAATGTTACATATTTTTTTCTCATTTTTTGTTTAATGTCATATATCAGCTCACATGTCTTTTAGTTAAACTCAGTATTAAGTCCACTAAGAACTAACTTACTGAGATGATCGTTTGGATATTTATAATGGAATATGTGTGGTAATTCTGTTAAGGATGGTAAGGTAGGATGAATCTTGTAATAATCATTATTTGATATATTGGCCAATATTTTTCATCTGTCTTGTCAGTTAGAATTTATTTTTTTATTATAAAAATTGATTAGAACCCCGTGTGGGATGCGGGACACTCAAGTAGAATTCACCCACAGTATCTCCTGACTTGATCGTAAAAGGCGACTAATAGGAGCAGCATACCGCTGTCCTTTTCCTGAAATCCTTTCGATACCTAACCTTCAACGACAAAACTCAGATACCCATCTCCTACTCACCCCGCGTGAAGTTGGAGTCCTTTTGTCCGTGTGTGAGTGGCGAGGGCCGTCTGGACGTGGGGGAAGCGGGGCATGTACATGTCGTGCAACCTATCAAACTGCATTCAGAACGTCCAAACCAGACACACATTCCTAAAGGGGAAGACTGGTCTCCAGAGTCCTGAAAGACAACCAGTCTAAAGGAAGAATACCTTAAACAAAAATTACCTGGTCCTCCAGGTTGGGGGTTGAGACGTCAGGCTGGTTCCCTGTCACTTGTAAAAAAAACCGCATTTACCAAAAAGCCTAAAAGTTGCCTCGGAACTTCGGACGGATCAAAAAGACGACGACAACAGCTACGGAAATGGACAATGAACATTGGCACATGGAATGTACAGAGCATTAGCGGAAAGGTGGAAGAAGTCATCCAAGAAATTACTAAATTGAACATGGACATGATTATATTGACTGAAACAAAGAAGAAAGGTTGTGGTACAGAGATATTGAAGAACTATGTACATATATATAGCGGGGTTGAGAAACATCAGCGAGCAAAAAGAGGTGTATCCGTAATGATACATAAAAAACATCAACGCAAAATAACAGATTTTGAAGCCGTAGATGAAAATATCATAAGAATCAACATGACAATCAACCAAAAACCTGTCACTATTCTTGGAATATATGCAGTCTCTGATGATCAACCTTATGTTGTTAAAGACGAATTTTTTGAGAAAATCAATGACGAAATAACCAAAATTGGAAGTACTAGAGAAGTGATCATAGCAGGAGATCTAAATAGTAGAGTTGGACAGAAGGTAAACAACAAAGTGGTAGGTCCACATGGGGAAATAACCCTAAATGACAATGGTGAAAGATTAATTCAAGTATGCGAAAACCATCAGCTAAAAATTACAAACGGGTTTTTTAAACACAAGGATATACACAAATATACATGGATTCAGGTAACCAGAAATTTAAAATCGATCATAGATTACGTGATTACAAAACAAAATACAACATTACACGTAATAGATACAAGAGTATATAGAGGAGTATCATGCGACTCGGATCACTTTATGGTAAAGTCCGAAATAGTTTTTCCGTTTAGATTCAAGAAAACAAAAGAACCACCTGAAGACACAGAAATTTATAACACGACAAAGTACAATCTGGACAGCTTACAACATGAAAGTACGAGAATACTATATCAACGAAGACTAAATGAAAAATTAGAAGATATAATCCAAAATGTATCCGTGGAAGAAGTATATAAAAATATAATAGACAGTATACAAAAAGCTGCGAAAGAAGCGCTTGGTTTAAAATCCGAACGACACAGTGAAAAGCTATGGTGGACCGAAGACATAGAAAACCTAGTAATGGAGAAAAAGAAAGCGTACACACGGTGGCTAAGTACTAAACATCAAGTAGACAAAGACAAGTATTTGGACTTACGAAGAACAACAAGAAGAGCAGTAATAACAGCAAAAAACGAAATGTGGGATAGGACATGCCAAGAGATCAACACTTACATGGGCGGAAGAAAGTGTTCAGAGACATGGAAACTTTTAAACAAAATAAAGAACACAGAAAGAAATACTACTTCTATCCAGTTAATACCAACAGAAAAATGGAAAGAACACTACGAGAGTTTGCTAACAGAAAGTAGAGCAGAATATACCGCACAATCACCAACGGAAGTATCAGTTGACGGCGAAGAGATAGTAGTGGGAGTTGATATGCTGAAGAAAGCTGTAACTGAACTAAAAAATGGTAGAGCTCCAGGCCCAGAAAATATTCCAGCAGAATTAATAAAATGTGGCACAGATAAACTATTTCTAGCACTTACTTGGTGTATGAACAAATATATAAACGGTGTCACACCACCCAGTTTATGGAAAGTAGCTTATATTTCTTCCATCCATAAAAAAGGAGATAAGTTGGATTGCTCAAATTACAGAGGAATATCGGTAACTAGTACACTAAGCCGGGTTTACGGACGCATTCTTAGAAATCTCATTGAGATGGAGTATAGGGAACAAGAAGAAGAAGAACAGGCTGGTTTCCGAGCTGGAAGAACTTGCACAGATAATGTCTTCTGCCTAAAACAATTAATTGAAAAAAAATTAGCAACCAATCAAGAGACCCATCTCATGTTTGTTGATCTCCGTAAAGCATACGACAGCGTGCCTGTAACTAAATTGTGGAAATCACTACAAGAAACTAACATTAGCTACACTTTAATCAAAGCCTTAAAAAATCTATATGAAAATTCTACATCACAAGTAAAAATTGGCAACACACTATCTAAAAAGTTCATCGTTAACAAGGGTCTGCGCCAGGGCTGCTGTATTTCACCAACGTTGTTCAAGATATATATTGCAAAAGCACTAAACCAGTGGAAACGTAAATGTCACGGTATGGGTATAGACCTCGGAGATGTTTGTTTATATACCTTACAATTTGCTGATGACCAAGTCATCATAGCCAATGATAAAGACGATTTAGAGTATATGGCAAGAAAACTAAAGGAGGAATATGAACAGTGGGGATTGGAAATAAATGTAGAAAAAACTAAATACCTACCCATAGGAGCTGAGTTATCCAATATCGAACTAGAGAATAATGAAGAAATCACCTCCTGTAGTGAATATACGTACCTGGGAGTAATCTTCGATAGAACGGGAAAAGACGATGAGGAAATAAAGAAAAGGGTTACACAAGCTAGAAGAACAATTGGCTGCCTAAATGGAATACTTTGGAGCTCTGAAATAGGAATAAAGCGAAAATATAACATCTATGAGTCACTAATTAAAAGCAGTCTACTTTATGGAGCAGAAACTTGGAGAATAACCGAGAACAACAGAAAAAAATTAGAAGCTGTAGAAATGGATGTGTTTAGAAGATCGTTAGGTATATCCCGCAGGGAAAGAGTTCGAAATGAGGAAGTAAGACGAAGAATTGGAATAGATGGTTACTTAACAACAGACATTGAGAGGAAACAGTTGATTTGGTATGGTCATGTTCAAAGAATGGAAGACACAAGACTACCCAAGAAGATTATGCAGTGGGTACCACCAAACCGCAAAAAACGAGGAAGACCCAAGAAGACATGGAAAGAAGGGGTAACTAAAGCAATGAGTACAAGAGATCTTAGAGACGGCCAATGGGATGATAGAAGGACGTGGAAGTTAGGCATCGGACAACGTCGAAAGACGTTCTAAAACCGATATATATATATATATATATATATATATATATATATATATATATATATAAAAATTGATTAGATCTGATACTCTGTATATTTTTTGTTCTTGTATACCAAAATGAGTAGAATCCTTAGAGAGTTCGTATACTATTTCATTACCTCTTACCCCGGTGTGACTTTCTGCCCAAATAAATGTTACATCTTTGTTTCTCATTTTTTGTTTAATGCTACATATCAGATCACATGTCCTATAGTTCAACTCAGTATTAAGTCCACTAAGAACTAACTTACAAGACCCTGATAAAACCGGTCCTTGTATATGGATCAGAGACATGGGCACTGTCGAATAGCGATGAGAACCTATTAGGTACATTTGAACGAAAAATCCTTAGACACATATATAAGGGGATAAAGGAAAATGACATATGGCGCAGAAGATATAACTTTGAACTATACACAGCATACAATGAACCCGAGATCATAACATCCATAAAGATCGGACGTCTGCGCTGGATGGGCCATGTTGAACGGATGTTGGCCAAAACATGTAATGAGGCAAACACCAGTAGGGAGAAGGTCAAGGGGAAGACCCAAACTTAGATACATGGAACAAGATCTGAACACACTTAAGATTACCAACTGCAAAAACAACGCAAAAAACAGAACAGAATGACGGAAAATCCTAGAAGCCAGGACCCAGAAAGGGTTGTCGAGCTACTGATGATGATGATAATCCAGAGCTTTCCTAATAGCTACCGCTTCTGCAGTGTAAATAGAGCAATGTAGAGAAAGTTTTATTTTAAATCATTTGTTATTGGAAGAAATGTACACTGCAGAACCTACCTTCCCATCGTTTAATTTAGAGTCAACTGTGTAAATTATAGTTTATTAGTATATTCACTCAATATGGAGTTCAACAACTTGTTATTTATTTGATGTGAATCTATCGGAAAAATAATATTTGGTTTTTTGAAGATCGTATTAAATTCTAATTTATAGAATGGTATAACACAATTTGTTAAAAGTGTAACCAGTAAATCATTGGTTTCCAGTTTCCATTCTCTATTTTGGTGTTTTTCTTTTACAACTTCGCCCATTTCCTTTGCATTACTTATTAACACATACTAACCTTTATTTTTTAATTGTGTAGCTTACTACTTAACCAAGAAAGGAGAAGTTTTAAAAAATTGTTTCTTTCTTATTATTATAGGGGGAATTGACACAACAGCTACAACCTTAGCTCTGACTATGTTCTACTTTGCACAAAATGAAAATATCCAAGACAAAGCTCGACAATCTATACTTGATGATGATACATATTTAAGAGCTTGTTTAAAGGAAACTTTGAGGCTCTCCCCTACTGCAGGTGCAAATAGTAGATTTCTGGCACAAGACGCTATTATTGGAGGTTATCTCATACCAAAAAACGTATGTGCTTGTTAATGTTTGTTTTTATTATATTGTTTTAATATCCTCCTCTTTATAAAAAGGCGGTGGTGCTTAATAAGAGATTGTAAAATGTAAAGTGTAAATAATGTAAGATGATTATGGTCAAGTTTTTTATAACTACGTGTTGTATGCCGATAACGGCACAATACTTTGTTAAGAATATTAGTTTTATTTTAAAATTATTAATACCCTTTATATTATTTTAATCTTGAATTTACTATTTTTTATTATGTCAATAACGACGTTTTTAATTATCTCTGTACGCCAAAACCATCTTCTTTTTGAGGTGTTTATAAGTTCCGTAGATTGGCACTCATCGTGGCAATTTTGATTTTGTTTACAGCTGTTTGAAACAAGCTTTGAGCTTGTTATATTGAACAAAGTTCTGAGAAACTTTGTTCACTGAAACTACTCGATAAATCAGGAAATACGTTGTCTTCTCGTGCCTCTTTTTCCGAACACATTCCAACGAAAACCTCGCAGCTTTGATGAGCGAGCGCCGTATTATTACGCAAATTAATCTCCATCGTTCAGGTTCTGTCACCGTACATTTTTAAATAATTGCATCTTTGGAGAGCTATAATCGTAATAGTACGTTCTACATTGTCCATCTTGCTTACTAGTATCGTTCATGTACGTTACATTCCGCAAATACACCATACTGATGCCGTACATATACGGCAGCACATCACCCATCCTAGCGCCGTACTTTCTAAAGTTATTTTTTTCTAAGACCCGGTCTTTTCACGTCCGGATAACTAGTTTCTTCTTCTTCTTCAGCCTGTGTTCGTCGACTGCTGGACATAGACCTCTTCCATTTGCTTCCATCGATTTCTACTTTTGGCAATTCTCATCCACTGCTTGCCCGCGACTTGTTTGATATCGTCTGTCCACCTCTTCTGCGGTCTGCCTACTCCTCGCCTGTTCTCTCTTGGTCTCCAGTTTGTTAATCTTTGTGTCCATTTTTCGGGAATATCTCGGGCAACGTGTCCGACCCATTGCCACTTGAGCCTTGCAATACGTTCTGAGACATCAGTAATTTTTGTTCTTTCACGAATGACGTTATTTCGAATCCTGTCTCTCAAACTAATCCCTAGCATGGCCCTCTCCATTGCTCTTTGGGTTGTACTGAGCTGCTCTAAGGTTTTCTTTGTGAAGACCATGGTCTATAGTCCATATGTAGTTACAGGCAAGATACATTTGTCATAAACTCTACGTTTTAGACACATTGGTATATCTTTATTCTTCAAAATAAAGCTTAATTTGCCGAAAGCTCCCCAAGACTGTTGTATTCGTCTTTTTATTTCGGCTATTTGATTTTCTTTGCCGATTTTAATGGTATGTCCAAGATATATATAGTGGTCTACATGTTCAAGACTGACGTTGTCAATAACAAGATTAGTTTGTAAATTACTCATTATTTTTGTTTTCTGAAGGTTCATTTTGAGACCTTTCATTTTGCCACCATTTGGATAACTAGTTAGCGGAAAGTTTATCTGACAGATTACATACTAATCTGCCAGATAACCTCCCCTATAACTAATTATCCGGATGTGAAAAGACCGGGGCATTAGGCTCGGTCATTAGCTGAATAAGGAAAAGAAAATCAATACATTGTAAATAACTAAACATTTATTCAAAAATTTAAAATAATGTTTATTTCAACGAAGTGTATTAGAGAAGTAATGTAATATAATATTCATATTGGCTAAAATTCCTTTTTGGTATGATACTCTCCAAAGCAGGGATAGGCACATATAGCTACTTCACATTCTTTGCACATAAACCGCACATCTTCATACATGGCACCTTCTTTGGGTTCGAGTATCTTGGGCGGAAGTTTGTGGAATTTGACTCAAAAAATGGCTTTCTTGAAGTCTAAGTCGATTGTCCACTGTCAGTGGTTTTTTAATTTTTTTTTCTACTCTGCCAAATGTCGCTATGAGTTGAGTAACAACCTTCAAACGAAAATCCGAAAATGATAGTTTCGTTCCAGTTACAACTTGGAAAAGTACATAAGCGTTATACAATGCCACATCCATCAGATGGAAGAAAAGCTTTTTGTACCATTTAAGCGATTTTCTAGCACATTCAACAAAGCTTATTTGCATGTCTGCTTTATCGATAGCCCCCATTTTGTTATTATATTGTACGACACATAAAGGCTTTACAATTTTTTCTCCAGTACGAAAGTGATTTTTTCCAGTATCTTTTGGTTCAGCTGTGTATACCGTAGTGAGCATATAAACAAGTCTTCTATCATTCCATTTTAAAGCAAGCATTGTGCCGTTATGTGCTACAACCCATTCTTCTTTTTCAACTGAACCAAATTGTGGCATTCCTCGTCTTGTAGATCTCACAGTAGCACAAGTTCCGGTTTGTTTTTCTAGAAGATAATCCAAAAGAATAGGGCTCGTATACTAATTGTCAATATATAAAATATCTGACAGATTACATATTATTATAATATGGAATCATCAAGGTATTGACAATATCACGACTGATGCCAGTATGTCGGTTCGTTGAAGATCTGTGAGCCGGTGTAGACGACGAAATTCAAAACATTTTCGTTTGCAAAACATGTGCATATGCATTTGTTCGGTGATCAGAGTTATAATATTTTCATCAAAAAATATAGTAAAAAAAATCTACATCAGCGCTGGCTGGTATGATGCAGAGATAAATTAGGATTTATACCTGAGTTGTTGCAATCAAAATCCATTACATTTGGTACAAAATTATCATCAAAAACCCATGAGTCTGTTGAATCACTTTTTTTGGGAATGTTTTCCTCTTGAAGATGGGTTTGGATTTTTGCTGGGTGCTGCAATCTCATCAACAACTGATGTAAAGTCTATATCATCTTCTGATTCACTTGAATAATTTTCTATATATTCAGATTCATCTTCGCTTGAGAAATGGTTTTCATTATCCGACGAATCATATTTACTTTCACTATCTTCAAGGCATTTTCTTAGTTCATCCTCCGTCAAAAAGCGTTTTTTATTCATGATAATGCAACTAACAAATGCTGACAACCGAAAAACAATTCCACTACTTCGATAAAACGAATATAAACAAACTGCCGACCACCGAAAAACGATTCAACCACTTCAATAGAAAGAATGTAAACTACTGAGTGACCACTGTGACCAGTGACCGTCAGTCGTTAGACCGTCTCGATCGCGAAGTGCAAAATTTTCCCGGCGCCGCATATGAGCAGCGCGCAACCGATATTTGGCCCGTAGCGAAAGGGTTAAAAATCGAGTTCATATAAATAAATGCTGATCTGGCCTTTGCTATCGGCTGTTTTATTTGTACAGACTGTTCACATCCTCTATTTATATTGATACCCGAAGATGTATAGCTCTCGACTTTTTCAATGTGTTTATTATTTACAATGTGTCTGTACATACAGGGTCTTTCAATAGGGGCTTCCCAACGTTGATAGTCGGTAGCGGCCATATTGTTAAAGATATCTGGCGAAGTGACTGTCATTGATTTAATCTATTTTTTTTTAAATCACCCCGTATGGATATAGCGTTCAAGAACACGTGCAAATGTTAAATTGTTTTATTAAAATGGGTGTTCTTTTCCGGCAACGTTTTGTGCGCTTCGTCCATTTTAAGATCGCCATAATCGTCCTAACGAGAGGACTCTTCGCAATGTGGTGAGTAAATCTGAGTGTACTGGTTCACTAAGCAATCAAATAACACCCATATGTCTACGAAATGCAAGATCTGTCTGTGAGTGTATGCAGGAGAATGAGGCATTCGATTTCACGTCGCTCATAAGAACTTAACCTTTCACAGGCCGTAACTTGACGAATTTTGCGTTGTCACTTGGGCCTGCACTCGTACAACATTGAAATTGTTGAATTTGAGACGTTACCAATCCAGATGAAATCAAAGATAGTCCAATTCATCTTGAAAAAAGTCAGTGTTTAGTATGTATTTTATGCTGGCGTGGTCATCAAAGAGCTAATTGAGAACGATGTTGCCCGGCCATTACCGTCAACAGCGAACGCTATACCTCGATGATTATCAACTTCTTTTAGATTGAATGATATGGACACCAACAACGTAGTTTGAACAGGACGGCGTTACATGCCACATTGTACATTATGCCCGAGCGATATAATTCAGCCTAATTTATGTGCCAGAGTCATGAGAAATTGGATGCACTTTATTATTTTCGGCATGGTAGTAGTAGTCTGTCGACGTAAGTTTGGGCATACAGAGAAATGGCAAGCCAGCGCCAAGCGCCGACGATGCCATCGTTAAAATTTATTAAACATATCGTCATTAAATTAAATATCACCATCATCATCTTTGGATGGACAATGCTCTGTGGATTGTCCAGCTCTAAGATTAGTCGTCATTCTGTTCGGTTTCTGGCAACGTGCTGCCATCTTCTGATTTCTAGTATCCCTAAGTCGGCCTCAACTACATCTAACCATCTAATTCACGGTCGGCCTCTGCTTCTTCTTCCTATAGTTGTTCCTGTCGTTAGTTTTTAAAGAGTTCTGGGTTATTAAAGAGTTAGTATAATTCGAAATTAAATCTTTTGCGCCACTGCCCTTGCTCGTTAATAGCTCCAAATATTTTTCGAAGTATCTTACGCTCTATTATTCCTAGAAGTCTTTCGTCCTTCTGCTTTAGGGTCCATGTTTCCGCTCCGTATGTGAGGATCGGCCTCAGCAGTGTTTTCTATATAATTTTAGGTTTTTTTTGGATATTTCTTGAGTGGAATTGTTTTTGGAGTCTATAGTATGCTCTATTTGTAAGGTTTATTCGTCTTTTAATTACTTCGCTTGTTTTATTGGTAGTAGTCACTAGCGAGCCAAGTTATGTGAAACTGTCAACATGTTCAGAAACATGACTTCCAAATGCATTTTCCCGTTTTTCATTTGCTATAGGATCATTAGTAACTAACAGGTAATGGACCACAGGAGTGATGACGTAGATTTTATTGACATCTGTCAGTTTCACTTTCCAAACAAACCTTGTTTAGTGTGGATAATTTGTATTTTTAGTTATTTTTTCATTTATTTTATAGAATCTTTCCACTTTTTGCAATATTTAAGTATTCTAATAGTTACTACAACAATTTTACAAGGTTGTGTAAATAATAAAAACACATTGTTTTATGCTAATAGGTAAAAAATGCATGTATCAATAAAGTAAGGTTAGTATTTCTTTAATTTAAACTTTTAAACTATATTTCATAGAAATAGAACTCAGAATTATCGTAAAAAAATACTATGCTTACAAGAAAAAGCAGCAGAGGAAGCAAAATGTTAACTTTATAGGTATTAAAAAGTCTTGAGATTTGACGTTTTAACTTTCGTTTGGAAAGTAATAATGACAATGTGACAGCCGTGACGTCACACTCCTGCGGTCCATTGTTTTAGTCTTCGTTGATAACTAGATCCACTTGTTTCGCTGCAGTTTCCAATTCTAGGAAATACTGTTCAACATCTCCTTTGATACGCCCTTATATCCATGTCATCAGCGTATGCTAAGATTTGTATCGATCCATTGTAAATAGTACTGCCGTCTCTAATTCGCGTGACTCGGACTGCCTTTTCCAAGGCAATGTTAAATAGGAGGCAAGCCAGGGCACCCACTTGCCCGAGTCCATCCTTTTTCCCTGTATTCTAAAGCTGGCTTTTAAGTTGGAAATTGTCATTCTCGTCAATCGGATAAGTTTTTTTTGGTATACCAAACTCCCGCATTTATTGGTGTAGTACTGTTCTCTTGACACTCTCATATGCGGCCTTAAAATCGACGAATAGGTGATGGGTTTTAATGTTATTATAATGTTTTCTCGAGGATATGTCTTATTGAAATTAAATGAATCGGGTCATTAAATTAAATATATGACGATAATGTATTTGACATATTTTATATTTAGGTCTAGCTCATATGGTTTACTTATTTCCGTTATGCGAGTCACTAATATTTGTAGATCTTCCATACTATCTGCAAACACGACTATTACGACTATTAAGTTAGGTTTTTCCTCGGCACAACCGTATAGATGGGTTTGACAGTTGAAATGTGAAGTCCTGCCTGGAAAATCGTTGTAAGCGATAAAATTTGATAAAGTGATGTTTCAGTGGAAAAACGTTCTTTATACGTTAAGCAAACTAGTGACACCATATATTAGAATTAATTTCAATTAAATGCCCTCCTTACAGAACTACAAAACACGTATCTTAAATCATCTAAATAAAAGTAAAAATCAAGAAATAAATTTTTGAAAACTGGGTTAAAGAAAATCGTAAGATCTTAAAAAAAATTGCCTCCTAATGCGGTAAGTGGAAAAACGTTACATATGTTAAAAATCTAAAAACTCATATTTTCGTTTTAGGCTAGATCTTATGCATGTTCGTTCAATCTATGTCAGTTAATTACCCTTGAAATGAGACACAACTTATTTAATGATTTCTATAAGAAAACATACAATGAACAGTCACAATATTTGGAGTTATGTATGGAAGTAGAGGTGCCAAAGAGAAGGAAGGTAGATAAAGCCCCATCAAAACGTCAGTATACTGTAAAATATTTTTTGTTGATTACTGGAAAAAGACAAAAGATATGCCAAAAAATGTTTTGTGAAACTTTGTCTATAACAAGTCAAATCAAAACTTGCTTGACTTACGCCGAAAACACGTAAATCGTCCAACACAAATAAAAGAGTCTGTAAAATACTTAATCAGACATTATATTTTGTCTTTTCCGTCTCAAGAAAACTACTGTCTCAATTAGATTTTAGTTTGCGAATATTTTCTTGACATAATATGTCAAGAAAACTACTGTCTCAAGTAGATTTTAGTTTGCGTTTTGGAGTAGCTTGCTCCGATAATTGAAAAGTATGCGATAATTTTTTTTATAAGACTGAGAGCTGCATAGAACGAGGAAAAACGACAAAAGATGCAAACTTAATCCGGGCTACATTACCGAAAGGCAGAAAGTGTATATTCATCTTTGAACGCTGATGAAGAAGCAGCAAGTAGCTAAGTTGAATTCTAATGTGATAGTTTTATGTGTGGATTTTCAACAAGTCATTTTTATACCTAACTTATCACAATTCCGATGTTTATTACCAGCGCCAGTACGCAAATTACAATTTTGCTTTCCACAATATGGGAACCTCTGAAGCTACCATGTGTTGTTGGCATAAAACTGTAGCCAAGAGGGGCATTGCTGAAATATCTTCTTGTATTTTAAGGTATGTTCTTGAGAATTTTAAGAAACTAGAGGTTGGCATAGAACAAAATTTTATACTATGGTCTGATCGATGTGTCGGCGAAAATCATAATTGGAAGATAATATCAAATTAGCCAGATCTAGAAAACCTTTTCAAGTAGTTGAAATGAAACAGGAGAATTCTGTTGACTTGACCTCAGTTGAGAGTCAAATTAAGAAATACAACATTAAAATAACAGAAGCACGTTGGATACAGTTCACAGCCAATGAACCGACTGTTCTGCAGATAAGACAAACGCATGATATCCTGCAACCATGGCAGACATCACCTATACTAAAGAGACAAAGAGGACGAGCTGCAGTCCGAAATACAGTTAACATTCTTATTGAATTAGAAGCCTTGCCTCCAATGTACAGAGAACCTTTAACTGCTTCAGATAAGAAAAAAGAAGACTTGCTGAAAATGACTGAATATTTTGAAGAACGGTATAATTTTATTTTGAATTACCTGCACATGCATTACTCGACTAACGAGAATGACAATGACAATGTCTAACTTAGAAGCCACTGTTAGAATACAGGGAGAGAGTTCTAGATCCTTTGAGATAAAGGATGGACTCAGACAAGGAGATGCTCTGGCTTGCCTCCTATTTAATATTGCCTTAGAAAAGGCAGTCCGAGATACACGAATTAGAGATGGCGGTACTATTTACAATAGATCAATACAACTCTTAGCATATGCTGATGACATTGACATAGTAGGGCGTAGCAAGCGAGATGTTGAGCAATATCTCCTATAATTGGAAACATCGGCGAAACAGGTCGGTCTAGTCATCAACGAAGACAAAACCAAGTACATGTTGGTTACACAGGATCCGATAGCAAATGAGGAACGAGAAACAGTCTTTGGAAGTCATACCTTTGGACGTGTTAACAACTTCACATACCTTGGGTCGCTATTGACTGCTACCAATAAAACAAGCGAAGAAATAAAAAGACGAATAAATCTTACAAATAGGGCATACTATGGACTCCAAAAGCATTTCCACTCAAGAAACATTCAAAGAAGACCTAAAATATTATATACAAAACATTGCTGAGGCCGGTCCTCACATATGGAGCAGAGGCATAGACTCTAACGCAGAAAGATGAAAGACTTTTGGGAATATTTGAGCGTAAAATACTCAAAATATTTGGAGCTGTAAACGACCAAGGGCAGTGGCGCAGAAGATATTTTGAATTGTATCAGCTCTTTGATGAGCCAGATGTCATAACGTTCATTAAAACACAGCGACTTAGATGGGCTGGACACATAATACGAATGCCAGAAAATACCATTGCTAAAAAGCTAACCACAGGAACACCTGTAGGAAAAATAAGCAGAGGCCGACCGCGAATTAGGTGGTTAGGTGGAGTAGAAACCGACTTACGAATATTAAAAATCAGAAGATGGCAACATGTTGCCAAAAACCGAACAGAATGGCGACGAATCTTAGAGCAGGCCAAGATCCACAGAGGATTGTCGAGCCAAAGATGATGATGATGATGCACATGCAACTTAATCTGATTTTGTTTATCTATGTAAGTTTTAATAAGAAACATTTCTTTTTTACTTTTCAGTTTTTTGTATTTTCAATTAACCTTTTTTAATCATTTTAATAATGCTCATATTTTCCTAGGTTAAAAACGTTGCAAGGAATATCGTTTATAAGTTCAACCCATTAGCGGAAACACGTTGTATGTGCGTTAATGCCAAGTACACATGCAACATTTTTCTTCTACAAAAAGTTACTCTTTGGTTTTCGGTGCCCATTAGTCGTTTGTTCTGTTATTTATATTCAACCTTATTACCTTATTAGTAATACACATAAGCAACACTTAAATTCACAAAATTTGGTACATATGATCAAAATAGTTTTTTGTTATTATCTGACAAATTTTATTTAGTCGTTTGCAAGCTTTTTCCGGTCACTTTATGTGTAGTATGAGATCTTCAAAAAATACTCTCATTTAGGAATTCATCAATTTTTTAGTGGAACTATTTTAAAATCAACAATCAAAACGTCAAATGTATTATTTTGTTCATAACTTAAAAACTTGTCTATTTAGAGATTTGACGTCAACAGATATATTTTTCAAAAAAAGGGAGTCTTAATGTGTTTGAACTGTGTGGCAAAGATGGGTCAGATTGGTTAAATAGTTTTTGCGAAATTTAATTTGTTTTTAAGATTTTTTGAAAAAAAAGAGTTAATTTCTAAGGTTGGTCCAGATAATTTGACAAGTTTTAAATTATTAGCAAAATATTGAGTATGACTGTATTATTTTAACAAACTTTTAACTGCCAAACCCAAATACTGTTGTTGAAAAAAGGTTTACTTTTTACCAACTTGATTTGGTCTATACATCCTCCGCAAATCTTATGTTGAGTTTTTCTCTTTTCACTAGAATTCTCTCGTTCATATTTTCTACGGCATATTTGAAATTTTTGTTTGAATCGTCTTAGATTGAGTTGAGAGTAACGTATTGGCTGTCTTATTAATATTATTATTAACATGATATGTTTTTAGACCCTGGTAGCTGCATTTAGTTCGGTGATGTCGAATAGCCCAGAATATTTTGAAAATCACGATCAGTACATCCCAGATAGGTGGTTAAGAAACTCAAATAAAAAATTCCACAAGTTCGTATCGTTGCCTTTTGGTTATGGTCCAAGGATGTGTCCAGGAAAACGAGTAGCTGAAATGGAGATGGTAACTCTGTTGAAAGAGGTATGTACAGTTGGGTAACTATATTTACGATGTTTTAACAATTATTAATTTATGTTAGCGTCTGATGTGCGCATTTGAAGCGAAGCTTCTATACTGTCTTGTATTACTTTTTCTCTACAGTAAAATGCTGAGGCGAGCGTCACGGACGTAGCGCCACGAAATAGCGATTCATGGTTCGCAGTCACAATCAACAGTTGGAAGAGTCCATTTACGCGACGATTTATGGAAAAATATTAAATAAATAATAAAATTATTGTATTCAATTTTAAAAATATTATTTAAATTTTTAAAAATACATAAAACATACTATGAAGTTTCGCGCTAGTCTACAGTACCGCTTACTGTATATTTTTTTAAATATGGGACAGCTGAATTAACTCACTTCGCAGTGATGATTATTTTAATAACAATTTTCATTTTAAGCTAGCCGTAGAAGAAACACAGTGTGTTATATTTTTTAATTTAGCGTGTTTGCTGTCGATTATTCATTTTAGTATTGGCTCGACTTTTGTAGAAGGTTATTTTAGTGTAGCCCTAGATAGTAGTATGCAAGTATATCCGTTGGTTTACATTAATCTAGTATTAAAAAAAATAAAGCATATCGAAATAATAATGCAAATACGGAACCCGAGTTAGAAGAATTTTATATATGTTCAGAAGAATATTGAGAGAACCATTTCAAGAAAATGAGAACGATCATAAACCTATTGGCGATGTCAAACGAAAGAGGCGACACGGTGCGGTAAAATTTTGAACTAGTGCACGTAGGATAACAAAACATTTTGTATTTAGTTATACACACATACCATAGTTATAAACATTTTAAATATTATTAAATAAAGCACAATAAGGTAACAAAATGTTAAAATGTAAACTGTATTGCTCTGCACCGCAATTCAGTAATTATTAATCGGAAGGAATAAGTATGCACTTTTTTCCTCGTGACAAAAATCTACAAGATCGTTGGGCACAGGAATTAAAAATTGGGAAATCGATATCAAGTGATATGATGGTGTGTTCACAACATTTTTATCAACAGATTTTTTTTTCAAGTAAATTTTCTGAACAGAATTGCAAAATTTATTATATATAATGTGCCTACCTAACCAAATATATACACTAACATAGATCTTAATTAAAATTTTTCTGCAGCGGGGCAAAAGAAACTTTCAAAGAAAGGTGTTGTTACCTCTCAATGCCTTCTTAAAGGAAAACACCAAAGAAAAACAATGAGGAACTGGTGAATGCTAGACTAATGCGTAATAAAACACACGCACATTCCTCACTGGCGGGCTTTACAAGTGCCTTTTGCCACCCACACTCGTCTCTTAACACATCCACAGTGATTTCATGTGGGGCACAATTTAAATTAGTCGTTTGCAGACACAAACCGACTAATTTGTTATTATATTTGCCACACAACACAACGTGGCCAGCCTTTAACAAGGCCTCGTATTCTTTTAAAGGTCTTTTTGTGTCTCCTATATATTTCAAAATATGGAGCAGACTAACTTTTTTAAATTCAAAATATGTTCATAATATATGTTCAAAAATTTCACAACAATCATTCACTTACAAAGATTATGGTAGCTCTGTTTTGTTTTCCTACGTGCGTGATCAGCTGATCATCTGTCAAAGCGCCCCCTGTAGTTCGTTGACATCGCCAATTAATGCAGTAACTAACAAGGAAGAAGAAGAAGAATGCGAAAATAATAATAATATACCGGATACAGAAGTGTATAATGTTTTAAAAACAAATTAAATCAAGCACAAGGAAGTATCTAAACACTTGACAAAATTTGAAATTTGAAGGAAAAAAAATCGAAAAAGCACTCGCACCCAAAGTGAGAATCATAACTAGACTACCGGGTCAACATACTTTATTTATTTACTTCACAATGAAAAATCATACTTCATGTATAATATGTTGCATGATAGCATGATCTATATGTTTTTATTTAAAGTCGTTATATTTTTGCCTTCTTTAACCCAAATGCAATTCTTGAATTTGGTTGGAGATGAACAGTGATACTAAAAAAGATAGGAAGGAAAAATTGCACACATTGTCAATGTTGTGTTTTGTAAAATTATTTTGATAAAGGGTGTTAGAATTTCAAATACATTCCAATGGTACTACGTCCATCAATTTGAATTCTGGGAAACAACCAGATGATTCTATTTCCCTTTCCTCGCCCAACTACCTAAAATTTGCCTGCTGCCCAAAATTTTCCCAAGACGTGTGTTGTGAATCTTGCATCAAGTAGACACCTGCAAATCTCGTAAGCTCCAGTATATTATTTGTTAAGTATATCAGTTCTCGTATTCGGTATTGTTCTGAAGCTATTTTATTGCGGCATTTTAAAGTAATTACTATTTAAATCGGAATAAGCCACAATTAAAGGCTAAAGTTCGTTTATTGACGTTTCAATTTCCACTTTGGAAATCGTTCTCACAAAACAAACATTAGTAAATTAAACAAATTTTGTTTTTTTGTTACTTAGTCAAAAATTCTTCTAATAATTTAATTTTATCTGACTCATTATCTATCCGGTATTGTTGGTAAATAAGTGCCGGTAAATAAAAAGTGATAATACTGTAAGGGCATATCTAGAGGGGTCCATGCCCCTAGCGAGAATTAAAAAAATATAAATTTATATATTTGCAGTTCAAACGTTTATAGTTTTCTCCAAATTTGAGATACATACATACACAATGACTACCTAAAAAAGCTATATGCAGAGAAAGAACAAACGACGCTAGAACCGGAAACATCAGAAATTACCACAAATGAAGTAAAATGTACAGGAAAATCGAAAAATACTTGAAAACCTGAAGAACAGAAAAGCAGCAGGTAAAAACGGGATACCAAACGAATTACTGAAATATTGTGGAGCATAATAAAATTATAAAACACAATAAAATACCGGAAGAATGGAAAAGGATCGAACTAATTCTGCTATTCAAAAAAGGAGATAAAAAACAGCCAGAAAACTACATAGGTATAAACTTGTTAAATACTAGGCTACAACTTACAACTAAAATTTTACAAGTGCTAATAAATCAGAGGATAAGTTTAGTAGATGAACAACAGGGTTTTCGTAGTGAAAGATCGTGTACAGATGCAATATTCGTTATAAAGCAATTTACTGAGAAATCACTAGAGTATAATAAACCAGCATTTCTATGTCTGATTGAAGATGGCTAAAGATGTAATCCATCTTCTGTATAATAGAGAAGTTCCCCTAAATATTATAAAAACTATCGAAAACAACAAAACAAAGGAATGGAAGTCAGAATAGATGGACAACTTACAGAACCTATATAAATAGACAGCGGAATAAAACAAAAGGATTCATTGAGTCCCATGCTCTTCAATTTGATCATGGATGAAATCATCAAAAGCGTTGTCCAGCATCAACAAAGGAAGATGATACAGAATGGGAAACAAAGAAATCAAAATACTCTGTTACGCAGACGCAATATTGATAGCCCAAGATGAAGATAGTCTGCAAAGAATAGTCCTCAGATTTAACATAAGAGCAAAAGAATTTAATATGACAATCTCATCTCAGAAAATTAAAACAATAGAAGTCAGCAAAGAACCAACCAGATATAAAATAGAAATTGATGGCATCGGTATTGAACAAGTAATGGAAATAAAATATACAACGCAAAGGCTACTGGAAACGGCAAAGATGAGAGTACTGAGAAGAATTACAGGAAGTACGCTGAGAGATCGAAAGAGAAGTGAAGACATTAGAAAAAATGTAACTTACAGTGTATAAATAAATGGACACAAAATAAAAAAAAAGAATTGAATAACTACATAAGCAGAATGGAGGAGACTCGTGTCGTCAAAATAGCAAGAGATTTCACCAATCGGCAGAAGTATCGGACGATCGCCCAAAAGATGGAGTGACAACCTTCTATAGAGGTATTAATCCGCCAATGTACAAGCAGAATTGCTTATACAGAGAAAGAAGTATTAAAGTGAAATCTTTGTGTGTAACATGAACTTTTAAACCAACTCAAACTCGGAAAAAAATTAACAAATTTATGCGAAACAAGATGGGTTGAGCGCCATGAAAGCGTAATCCAGTTCCGATCTGGCATTTTATAAAAAATTGAAGCACTAACATCTATCTCATCATGGAAGGATCCCCAGACTGCTACACTTGCATTAACTTTGCTTAATTCTTTATGCATAGCTGAGTTTCTAGTGCCAATGATGTCACTGATTGACATAATAAGATTAATATTTTCACTAAGCCATCTTCTACAATCAAAATCTCTTAATGCTAACCTGGCGACTAAGGCTGTTTCCAATACCATGTCGTATTTTAAAAGATAGAAGATCTAACTGCGAAGAAAACTTTTAGTAAGCTTGCTTTATTTGTCATTGTTTTGGTCAGTATTAATTTCTACGTTTTTTTTTGTCGAGGTAGTCGAATAATAAATTTATTTGCCCGCAGAAAAATCATTGGCTTGGACGGCAGAGATGTTCGAATAATTGCAAATTTATATTGGAATCAAACAACATCAGTTTTAGTAGATGGTGTGGAATCACAGGCTCTTAATATTAAAAGAGGAGCACGGCAGAGATGCCTCTTGTCACCCCTGCTTTTTAACGTTTACTCCGAAAGCACGTTCTGAAAAACAAGAAGGAATACTTGTGAAGTCATCAATAATTTGCGATATGCGGACGATACAGTACTCCTAGCTTCTAGTCAAGAAGATCTGCAAACACTACTTGATAGTGTCGTTGAGAGTTGTAGGGAGGCAAGTCTGGATCTTAACAAACGGAAAACGAAATACTAGTGATAAGTAAACAACAGCATATAAAACCGTCTATATATGTAAATAATACCAAACTTGAGTAAGTTGATAAAATCGTTTACCTTGGACAGCAATTAAACTGTAACGCAGAACGTCACGGCGAAATTAGATCTAGGATAGAGTAGGCTAGAGCTGCTTTTAGAAGGATGTTTAAGGTGGCATGTAACAGAGACCCAAAATTGGCATTGAGGATCCGCCTACTTCGCTGCTACGTATTCTCGGTCTTACTATATGGTGTCGAGTCCTGGACTGTGAATAAAATCGATCTAAATCGCCTTGAGGCTTTTGAAATGTGGTGCTATAGAAGAATTTTAAAAGCTTCCTGGGTGGAGAAGATTCGAAACTCCACAATACTAGAACGTCTCAGCAAGACTACTGAGATCATAAAAAGTATCAAGCAGAGAAAGCTGGAATATTTCGGACATGTAATGAGAGGTCCCAAATATAGGTTGCTACAAAATATCATGCAAGGAAAAATAGCAGGCAAACGCAGTTCAGGACGAAGAAGAACCTCATGGTTGAAGAACTTGCGAGATTGGTAGGGTGTTGACACAAGCATGCTATTTAGGGTAGCAGTGAATAAAATTAAGATAGTTATGATGGTAACCAACGTTCTGAAAGGAAATGGTACATGAAGAAGAAGCAGAAAAATCGCTGTCCCGTTCCGTAGCAAAAAACGCTATCCCGTCCCTTCCCGCGGAATAAAATGCTGGAAAAAGTGACGTCCCACGTGAATTCCTAAACTTGTTAGTTAATTTCATAAACTAAACTATATTTCTTTGTTTGCAATTATGGAAATTCATGGGGTTTTAGGTTAAAATTTGCTGATATTTCGTTGCTAGACAAATAAAAATACTTTAATAACGATAAGTTTTGAATGTCTTTATTTCATTCAAAAGTGTGTAACAAGTGTTAAAACTCACCATTTAACTTATTTTTAAAAATTTCCCCCAGCCCCCTACAAAAAAAAGTTCATGCCCCCCGAAAATCTTTCCGCGATCCGACCTTGTGATACTGGTAGGTGCTAGTGCCGTAATGCCAGCTATGAAGTCAAAAAACATTTTTGAAATGTTTGAAACCAAGTGATTATCTACTTCACTTTGTATATCTCACTGTTATTAAATGTACAGGTAGAATGTGTGGGTATTATTTGATTAACCCTCGTCCTATACATTTAAGTTGTCCGCACGGGCAAAAGGCAGGTTCATGTTGAAATTAAAATCAAAATACATTCCACTGCGAACCCTACAATTTTGCACAAAATGATTATTTCACATGTTTGCTAGATGTAAAGAGAAAATATATGTCTCTAGAAAATTATGAGGGATTAGAAGACGAACTCCTCACGATGTTGCAAATAACAAGTTAAGAAAAGGCGAACTTGCGACAGTGTACCGATGGGATATAAGTTGTAAATTAAGTGGGATGTTCATTTCATTTCTACAGAATTTTTTGTTGTACGAATATATCTCGAAGAATTCGATCTTATTTTAACCATGCCACCGTCAAGGCGTAGCTATAATACGCTAGTAGCTAATAAGCCTAGTAGCATATAAAGGGTACCAAAACCTGTGGTTTTGCAAATTAATCAACAATATATAATACTTTTATTAACTACAATAATTATAAAATAACCAAAAAGAAAAAGTAATACGTTTGACGGAAATTAATTGGACTATCATCCAATCTGTGATAAATTATTTATTTATCCAACAAAATCTCTTGTATATTTTTTTATGGAAATTATATTTTCAAGTGTGTTCTGAAGAAATAATTTATGAAGTTAGTTTGAGGTTGATTTAATTTAGTTGTTTGTCAAAATGGTTATTCCTTGTGGAATATCCCCTATGGCCCATTCTTGCGGCTCATAACAAAAGACTCTCTGGACATAAAATTGCTTATAATTTAAATATTTCTCAAGGAATTGTTAGAAATAATTTCACAATTTAAAAAAATTGGTAATATTGAAACAAAAGTTAAAACTGGTCGTACTTCAAAGATTACCGAAAGAGACGAGTGTGCTATTCGGATACTTATTAAACAAGATCGCCGAGCTCCTTATCGAGAATTTACTGTAAAATGGGTTTAAAAAGACATTTTTTTAAGGAGAATGAAAAAAATAAGATTTGAATTCTATAAGGTAAATTTTTACAAGCAACATTTATCCTAAGTATTCAAACTTATCACATTTTAGTCAAAGGAAAAAAACATTTTTTAAATAAACAAAAAAGAAACCGTTTTTAATGGGCAAAAGAGCATCAACGTCAAAGGGATTCAGTTATTTGTAGTGATGAATCTAACTTTGAGGTCTGTGTTGATGATATAAAGTAGACATATTCGAATGTCATTGGAAAAGTATCACAGAGATTAGCTCAACAGAACGGTTAAGTTCCCGATATCTGTGATGGTCTAAGGTTGTATGTCCTATCACGGAGATGAACATCTCATTTTAATTGATGGCACTGTCAATGCTGGGACGTACAAAACTATTTTACAAGAATATTTATTAATGAATTTCAACTGTCAAGTGACAGATTTATATTTCAACAGGACGGCGCAGTCTGCCGTCAATCAGTTTTAAAAAATGGGCCTTCAATCAGTTCTGATCTATACCCTATCGGCGTCAGATGAAAAGTGTACTTCGAACTACACCAGTTCTCACAATTCCTGAATCAAGGTGTGAAGTTCAGGAAATTTGGAATAACTTTCAACTAGATTATTGCCAAACATTAGTAAAATTGCTTTTTATTTTATAATTATTATTGTAGTTAATAAAAGTATTACATATTGTTAATTAATCGCCAAAACCACATAGTATCAAATAAGCTTAATCGAATACTTTTAATTTACAGTAGTTACTAAAACTAAGCGAATCAAAGCACTGTGATAATAACGTTAATTTTATTAATCATAAGATGTTTGGATGTTATACATAATGACGATGCCATTAAGTATGGGTACACCGAAATTCATCACCAATTAGCATAAAAGTACTCATAGATAGTACAAACTCATCATTACAATTAAACCAGGCTTTTAAAATAGACCTGGAGATATTTTCAAATTGATCGCTGTCCTACGGATGATATTCTGCGTAGGCAATATACCCTTATTATTTTTACTGGGAATAAGCCAAGTTTATTTGACATTTAGATTTTCACTTCGGAAATCGTTCTCAAAATACAAATTATTTTGTTTTTATTACGTGGTAATAAAATTATTCTAATTTAATTTTATCTGATTCGTTCAAATTGACAATTCAGACATATAATATACATTTTAAAGTAGATAACTTTAAAATGATATTGTCAATTTTTGAGTTGCGTTCCTGTGACGACTTTGGAAGATAGTTCATTCGATGACATGAAATCTTGTTTAATTTATATATATATATATATATATATATATATATATATATATATATATATATAATATATATATATATATATATATAATATATATATATTGAGAACGATTTCCGAGGTGGAAATCGAAAGGACAAAATAAACTTATTTTAAAGTAAACTTGTGGCTTACTTCAAGTAAAAATAGCAAATTAAATTACTCTTCACTCGAATTAAAAAGTTCATTAACAATATTCCAAACCATTATGGCGTTTTTGTTGAGAAAATTATTTTACCGCATTGAAATTTAGTTGTACATAAATTTTCATATACGTGACAGTATGAAATAAATAATCATTAAGGAACTTGTCTAGCTGTATCGTAAATTCCCTTATTCAATAAATGCTCATTGAATACATTCTATTTTAGATTTTAAAAAACTTCCGGTTGGAAGTGGACGACAAGAGAAAAATGGGTATGGTGTACAGGATGAACAGGATCCCGGATAGGCCTATCAATATTAAATTTTTAGATACAAATCACTAAATATTTATTAGGTCATTGTACAACAATACATAATGTCTTAATATACATTTTTATATACAATTTATTTAATAATTTCCTACCTTATGTCTTAGATTTTGTACAATAAAATTTGATTTTTAAAGCTTAAATGACGAATTTTCATATGTCTGATGATGTATAATGATAAACTTTTTCCTATTGTCATTTACGTACAAAATGAAACATAAAAATATATAGTAACAGAGCTGGAGATCAATTTGGATATATTTTGAACAAAAAAAAAAAATGGTAACTGTATTTCTGTACAACTAGAATCAGTTTATTAACAAGTTATTGAAGAAGAACCCTGGGAATATTCCAGTACGATGTACCGGTGATCTGTAAATAAATAAAAAAAGTCGTGTAACTGTAGATATGGGATTATGGATAGAGGCGCTAATAATTTGATCACCGTAAATAAGCAGATTCTAGGGAAGACCCAGGAATAAGTAAGCCAGAGCGGGTCTCCAGACAAACTAGGCGTAAAATATGTCTTAGATAATTGGTCACCAATGAGTGAGTTCTAGACTATGAAATTTGATTAAATGATTTGCCCATTAACAAACTGAATATGACTTCCCTTGTGTAAGGATTACTTCAAAATACAAATGTTACTAAATAAATTATAGTTTCCAATTGACTATTAATAATTGACCGGTATCGCTATAGCGGCCATATTGGAAAGATGGCGTTGCTTACGACGGCCTAGAAATTTCAAATATGCAAATATAATAGGGAGTAGATGTGGAAACAAATATAAGAGTAGAAAATAACGAAGAAACGCCACTAGAAGTTATATAAAAAATTCATGATATTCTAATGGAGATTTATTTCACTTTTCAGTTAAAATTAAGGCATTCAGTATTAATTAATTTAATGTTGATTATTTTTTATTAAACAAATGATTGACTTAATTGTCCAATGTAATAAAAATTTTTAGTTACATGCAATCATAGAATGTCTAATTGCCCACCAGCTGCTGTACAAAAACTTTTTAAAGTAGCCCTAATAATACAAACAAAAATGTCTTTACAAAAATGTGTTACACATACATCTAAGTGCTAAAACGTAACATTGCCGGAATGTGTCTAGAATAAAACCTAAATTAACATTATTTAATAAACCGACTGAACAAACTCAAATAATAAAGAAACTATTCAAATAAAAACAATTACCTACATCGATTTTTTGTCAGTTTTATCAAATACTATTTAAATCTTAAACATAATCTTGCCCATAAATAAATATCTCTTTTTTGCTATGTAAAAATATTCAACTTTAAAAACAACAAATAAATTATACAGTACTAAAAGGTAAAAATATTTATACTAGAACGAGATCTAGTTTTGGGACGAAAGAACCGTCAGATCGGTACTTAGGGAATGTCTACTGTTCCAATTAAAATGCGCTTCTGTTCTGATAATCATATATGAAAATGTACAAGATATAACGAGAAAAAAAAGCAGACCTTTAATAAAATCCCTTCTACAATAATTAAACTAACTAAATGAACCTACCGAAGAGATGTGAGTAGCAGTTGGTAAATACTGAAAGATCTACTTATATAAATGTGAAACAATAAAATAGAAAAAGATGCAAAACTATATAGGAAAAGAAGATAAGATAAGCAAAGCAGAAATGGTATGTAGAATGATATCAAAAGATTGAGAAATGAGGGTTCAGGAAACACACGTTCAGAGTAATCCGGTAATTTTCACGGAAGAAATAAAAACAATATCGAAAAATATGTGACAAAATTTGAAGAATCACCATACAGAACACAAGACCCAGAGCAACTATCGAAGCGAAAGTAGAGGCTGCTATAAAGTGTATCAAAGATAAAAAACCTGTAGTGTTAGAGGCTTCTACTACGAATTCTTAAAAATTATGAACTAAAATGCAATAAAAATACCTACCTTTGTATTTAATAGTATATAAGAGTGGAAAATACAACAATGATTGAAATCCTCCTTCAGGATAATACCCACAAAATCTAACACATAGACTACCGAATAATAAGCCTACAAGCAATCTTCTGAAGACGTCTTTGGAAGTAATACATAAATAATATATATAATATACCTATATTAATAATAAAAGAACAAAAGAAAAATTGTGAGGAGATATGAAAAACACACAATTTGAGTTCAGAGATTCTTAAGACACACTTCTACGATCTTTTTGTAATATAAGTTCTCTTCCAACGATGTAGTTCCAATTTATATGCGTGCTTCTTTGATAATAAGCAGGCGTTTGATATAATCAAACACGATAAACTAATAAAAATATTAGATAGCAAAAACTAACGCATAATAAACAACATCTATTACCAAATAATTGCAACAATTAGGGTAAGAAGGAAATCAACTAATAGAAGACATACAAATAAAAAAAGGCCTGCAACAGGGTAGTATATTATCCCCATTAATTAGTCAATACATATTCAAAGCAAATAATTCTAGCCGTGAGAGATATTGAAGTAATATTTTCAATCGACAGAATACTTGATAACACATAGCAACAGTAAGGTCTGTAGGGGCTTGTCATGAAAGTAGCAGAAGAACTTAGTATATATAGCCTAGAGTAATATCAAAAACACCAAATACATTATTATAAGTAAAAATAATATAAGTATGTCGACATTGATTATTCAACGAACAATCGACAGCATAGACGACCAACTATTTCTGCTTGGTACCAATCACCGATGGTAATATATTAAATGTTACTTGTATAGACAGTTATTTATGAGATGAGAGAGATGTTCTCCAAATAATAAGAAGAGTACTAGATTATCTAAGATGGCCCGAAAAATCAGAAAGAGTATGGATATCCTGACCGCACAATGTACAAAACTAATCCCGCCCAACTACTACGTGAGTTTTTAGGGCAGCAGCCAAACAAGTGAGAATGATCATGTTAGTATGTGTGCTGGACAAAAAATCAAATGGTAATTTTAATTTTTATTAACAATGAAGAAACGATATATATAAACCCAGAAACGAGTCTTTCCATATTGTTTGAAAGAAATAGAAACAGTTCCAGACATCGAGAATAACTAAAAAGATGATAGGAATAAAGAATTTAGGAATCATATAAGAACATAACATGAACATAAAACAGTCTACGGTGATTATAAAAGCCAAAACAAAACAATAGATGGACAAACAAATGAACCAATTTTAAAGTGTAAATGAAAGTATGTAATTGTCAAACAAACCACATCAAAGCGAACGGGAGAGAGAGGACTTTGGAGCCGACATGACACACAACCTCCATTCGAGCATAGGAAGTTGATCCTACAGGATCAAACTTACCTTTTTCCATGTGGAAACCTTTAAACCGTCTGCTGAGTGGAGTGACCGGCTGCAGGTACAATGTGAAAAAGTATGGAAATGCTGAAGATGACTTGTATGGCTCAGTATGACCATGTGCTGACGTGAAAACAGCTACAACAAACCCAAAAAGATCTGATGTAATACACAACTAAAATAAGAATAGATCAATAAGAATGATTTTTAGAGATTGAAAAATATACAACGTAGAGACAAAAATAGGCTTAAATACTATACTGTACTACTAGAACACTACTGGGACGCTAAATGCTTTTGCTATTTTATGGAATTTTATTTAATAAAGACCTCATATCGCAACAAACCATATATCAAGTAAGACTTCATCTAAAAACAGGCTGATTATATCAATATAAACTAATCTAAAGATGAAATAGAAATGTTATATCAAAGCAAAATATACAAGGATATTATTAAGCAATATGCTAACAAATAAGGCGTTTACATATAAATATTTGATTTCATATTGCAACTTAGGTGCATGAGACACTCCTACTATTAATATTCCTATAAGATGAACAATATGAAATTCAAATAGGCGGACATGGTAATTCTAATAGGAATTTTAAACAGAAGTATATTTTACAGTTGAAATAAAAATCAAGTTACTCTATACACTCTAAAATATAAACTTGGTTAAGGAAGATACGAGGGGTGATAATCTGACAGCAGCATAGTAGAGTTTGATGTTTTAGTAGTATCCCAAAAAGTAAAAGTACATCGTAAACATTTATTTTTTATGAATTTTGAGTGGTTACAACAAATGGCATAAAACTAGGTCGTCCCAAAGTAGTTGGTATAATCAATAATGAGCAGCCTGAAAGTCTACTTCGACCATTGCCATAGCAGCAGACGAAGTGTTAGGAAGAAATAATTGCCAACTATGAGCTAGATGCTCTAATAATAACTTATTGCTACAAATAGAACTAGCAGAATTATATAAGAAACCTAGTATAGGTAACTACATACAAATCTAAAGAAAAATGAGATATATTTCCAGAACGAAAGGATGTTTAACATGTTCCCACAGGAAATCTTGGGAAGTATGAAAAGCATTAATTAGTAAGAAAAGGCACCGGAAAAGGCGAAGTGGAATGAAGGAAGATGTCATATCGAAAATAGTATTCACGAGCTTACTATATTGTTAGCAAGTCATGCATGTTTTGTGCCGAATTATATTAGTAAATAAGGTTACTTGTAGTTTTAGTTAATGTACTCATGTTATTATACCCTAGACCTCCAAGGATTGTAAACCAAAACTATATGATTATAAAAAAGAAAAAACACAATCATAGTTTTCTATAAATTTAGCTAACAGCCAAAAATTTATTTATTTTGTACATTTAATTTTTAATTAATTAAATATTTCCCTAGTGCCCCATCTTGACGGCTCTTCTATTTACCAATCGTACTTACAAGAAAAATCGATTTAAAACAAATTGCATTTTTTATACATTTTAAATGTAACAAAACGTTAAAAATTATATAGCAAAAAATTAAAATAGTATACAATATAATATAGAGATTCCTACAGGTAAGCAACCTAAAAACGCTTACTAACAAAAACACAAAAATCACAGAACTTTTAAAAACATATGCACATTGATCAACGTTCAATGCTCCTATTCTTAATACAGGATTAATCAGTAGCTTGTATAAATAAAATCACTAACAACTGAAAAGCACATTCAACATTTTTATAAATTTGATAAATCAGCCCAAAGGTAAAATAAACTTGTTCTTCCCTCGAATGCTTATTTTGTAATATTTTCATCAAAATGTTATTTTTTTTTAATAATTAATATGCGTTTTGTTTTCCGAAAATTTAATCCCATTGGAAAAATAGCTTCACATTTTCAAATCTTTCAGATTAAAGATAAATGCAATAAGAAATTAGGAAAGGTCTGTCGTCAGGGATCAACCTTGTTTCTATGAAGATCCTAATATTATTAACTGAGTTTAGGAGTCCCGGAGTTATAGGCCCGAGTTTATATAGATAAACATTTTAAAAGAGACAGACCTGGATGACAAAGACCTCAGAATAATTTCAGAACTCTACTGGAATCAGACCGCATACATGAAAATTAACGGAGAAGAAACATATCACATAAAAATACTACGTTGAGTTAGACAGGGATGTATCCTATCGCCGTTGATATTTAATATGTACTCAGAGAAAATTTTTAACGAGGCTCTTTACGCAATAGACGAAGGCATCCTTCTAAATGGTGAAAAAGTAAACAATGTTAGATATGCCGACGACACCATGGTAATAGCAGATAGTTTAGAGGGACTTCAGAGGCTAATGGACAGAATAAACGAGTACAGTCAACAGTACGGACTAAACATTAATACCCACAAAACGAAACAAATGATTATCAGCAAGGAGAATATAAACGGGGCTCATCTATACATTAATGGGACGCAGATAGGGCGAGTAAAACAGTATTGTTACCTGGGAACTATTATTAACGAACAGTGGAGCAATTTACAGGAAATAAAGTGCCGCATAGGAAAGGCAAGAACGGTCTTAAACAAAATGAGCGCCATCTTCAAAAGTCACAACATATCCCTTGATACAAAAATGAGACATTTGAGATGCTATGTTTTTTCTGTGTTGTTGTACGGGGCGGAGGCATGGACGCTTACAGACACCACTATTAAAAAACTTAAAGCATTTGTGATGTGACTTTATAGAAGAATGCTGAGAATATCATGGACAGCAAGGATCACGAACAAGGAAGTTCTAGGAAAAATGAAGAAGGAACCAGAGATTGTGTTTACGATCAAACGCATAAAATTGCAATATCTGGGACACATTATGAGAAATCAGCACCGTTACTCCCTGCTACAGTCTATATTGCAAGGTAAAGTCAAAGGTAAGCGAGGACCCGGTAGAAGGAGAATATCATGGCTGCGGAATTTAAGAACATGGTTTAAGAAAACCTCAACGGAGCTGTTTCGAGCCGCAGCGAGCAAGGTTATGATTGCCAATATGATTTCCAACATCCGAAACGGATAGGAACCAGGAGAAGAAGAGTTATAGGCCATTGAATAGATAAATGGGAAACAGTTTGCCAAGAAAGTTTTGCTTTTAAAGAGAGAAATGAATGGGCTCCGTTAATGGAGGCAGTATCCCTTTAAAGGATATAAACGCGGAAGTAAATAAGTAGTATACAGTGTGTGATTTCAATTTCTTGGCATATTGATAATTTAATTTGTTGCTATTTAAAACAAAATGATAACTGTATTGTTAAGCAATATAATTATCAACAAAATTTGTGACTTTTCCATCACACTTTTAAATCAGAATTTTAACTTTTTTGTGTAACAGGATTTTACAACGAGATGCATTTAATTAGTATATTATATTGTAATAAATAATTCACAAAAAGCGTTAAACATTAAAAAAAACTTCAGTATTAGAATTGGCACATCAAAAACAAATTAAACTTCGCCGTAATATAATAACAATAATGCAATTATCAACTAAAATAATTATCTCAACTGAATTAAAATAAAAAAAAATGTTATCGATTTTACAAAAACGTTGAATATATCACTTTTTGTTTGTTAGTGAATATTTAAAATGGTAAGATGATTCATTGAAGACTATCACAGTTTGATTATATAAATTCAGTTGGGCTCTGACAATATTTAGCTGCATCCATCTACTTTGGAGAATTTTTACAACAAATAGTTTTCCTTTGATATTATGTTTTCCATGTATAAATCCCGATCTCCTCTATAGACAACATTACATTGCCATGGACCACCTCTCTATGATGAAGACGTATAAAACACATAAACACATGTAATAGTTTAGAAACTGATATTAGTCTCAGAGACAATGTATATTTGCAAAGGTGTTGGCGAGATTCACAAAAATGAGATTTAAAATATTAACGGAAAAATGAAAGGTTCTGGGCTTAGTTGAAATGTTGTTGAAATCTGATTACAAGCACGTGGCATATTTATTTGTGATTTATATTGATTTTCTGATACTGTATAAAAGAGAAGAAGAAGGTACCTTAGTTATTACCAGTAAAATAATGTACAGTGGGGCTTAAACCTGACGGTGCATTTGTGATTGTAGAAATCTGATCACAAGCACGAGACAAATATTTATTCATGTTGGCGCTATTTTAAAAAGATTCCACGAGGAAACTAAGTTCCTGTAGCTGGCTGTATACCATATATCACAAAAAAAATTGTTAAAATCCTTTATAAAAGGTATATAAAATTGCCTCAAACGGGCTATCACAAACACATTGCAAAACGTTTTCGGATTAAACAATCCATCATCAGTGCAAACGGTTGTACATGCTAGTAGCCACCAAAATATATGGGTAAAAACCCCTTAAAAGTTATAAATTTGAAATTGTTTTACATTATTAGTGTTTCTAATTTGTGATGGTTAAGTTACCGTTGGATAGGTAACATGGCGGCGTATGACTCTACATGAGTAAAATGGTCCTGAGACGAAGTGCCTACGAGGACCTGTTGATAGATAACATGGCGGCGATAGTGCCTACGAGGACCTGTTGTTATCAACAGGTCCTCGTAGGCACTTCGTCTCAGGACCATTTTACTCATGTAGAGTCATACGCCGCCATGTTACCTATCCAACGGTAACTTAACCATCACAAATTAGAAACACTAATAATGTAAAACAATTTCAAATTTATAACTTTTAAGGGGTTTTTAAGCATATATTTTGGTGGCTACTAGCATGTACAACCGTTTGCACTGATGATGGATTGTTTAATCCGAAAACGTTTTGCAATGTGTTTGTGATAGCCCGTTTGAGGCAATTTTATATACCTTTTATAAAGGATTTTAACAAATTTTTTTTGTAATTATTTTAAAAAGAATCTAATGGATTTTCTGTATTGATTTGTTACGGTATATGAAATGTGGATTTAATCAAATCACAACAACAGTGCAACCCTACATCGAAGTAAGCAAAACAAATGACATCGGTCCTTATGGTTATGGCTAATCTAGTTAGCCAATTAAATAAACAAAGATAAAAGAAAAGAATTTGTTGGAAAAACAAAAAAAATCCTATTTCATAAGAAGCACACTTTCACAATAGGTAATTTGATTGTGTGAAAATATAATAAATGATTTATGGTTAGAATATCCTCCCTATTCGACAGATTTAACTCAATCTGACTTTTATGTATAAGATATTTAAATGGTTTTCCATCAGACGTTCAGAACAATTCTGGTCAACAAAGTAATGTGCTATATTATAAATCATGGAAATACAATAAAATTAATCGAAGTAATGTAAATAAATAATAAATTGTTTGATATTTTATTTGTTTTTTTTTGCAGATTCTATTTTAGCATATACACTTCTAGAGAGCTATAATTTCTGTAAAGAACAGAATATTTTGATATGAATTAAAAATATTTTGATTAATCCTGTGACATATAAATTAGAACTAATAAATCAATTAGCAATACTTAAAAATATGGTGAAAGTACAAAAATGTGGCTAGAAGATGATAGTAGATTTGTCAAAGTATGTACCAAAGGTCTAGATAAAATTTTGGGATCAATTTAAAAGAATATCACTGATATTCGTCAAATTAGACTCAAACCCGCTTTATACAGCTTCTCCGACAATTTATTGGACATTAGCTAAGAAGTAACAGGTGGCATCAGAACAAAACGTTTGAAATTAAACAGATTAATGTTTTGATATTGAAATTGATTCATTATAACTACATTCTTCTTGTCCTCTGCTTATACACAAATAAATGTATTTTTGGAAATGCATGCATATCTGTTCTATTTTTTTCGAAAAATAGGCTTTGATATTAAAAAGTTCTTTATAAGCCACTAAGATATTAGAGTTAATATGCCACCCAATAATTATTTTTCCAATCCACAAATGTGTGATATTCAGTAGTGCAATGTTATTTAGAAGTTTATCCCGGTGTAATGTAACTTGAGTATAAAATTTTTAATTCATTATACAGATCCATTTCATCCAAAATCTGGAATTGTGCAAGACCAAGAACAATCGACTTGAATATGGAGTATAAAATTTTTACAATACGTATTTTTGCAGCTACAGATATAAGCAAAGCTTCGATGTTCGAAATAACTTTTCATCAAGGCTCCAATATTGTTGGTTTATTAGAGAATGACATTTAGTCGATTCAATGTTTTACTAAAAATATATTTACCGATGAAGGTTTGATGTAACAACATATCCCAATTCTTAGAGAGATTTACCAAATAGTTTAAGATATATCTGTATATTTAAGATATGCATGTACATGCATGATGGTGTTCCACCACGGTACAGTCTATAAGTTAGAAATTATCTAAATGGAATGTAACCTCACAAATGGATTGGTAGAGATAGTGTATACTCATGGGCAACAAGTAACACCGATCTAAATAAGCTAGATTTTTACGTTTAGGGCTACCTGATTTATAGTCACCTGTTAGCAAAAACAAAAAAACTGTCGAGTGTTTCGGAAAAATATTGTAAACTATTTCGACTAAGTATCTAAGTAAATGACGAACAGTTTCAACAATTATAATTTGTTGCCGTCTTGTTTTTAAAATGATTCATTTTGTTAATTATTTTCATTTAATTACTTTTACTGTTTAATAAATTTTTGCCTTGTAAAAGACTTAAATCCGTTAAAACAATTGTAATTATAATGATTATATTAATAAGTAAACACTTGTTTCAATTACACTTATTTAATGCCCAATTTAATGTGGGATAAACAGTGTATTAGATTAGTTACTAAAATTAATTATAAAAAAGCATGCGTAATACCACAAATACAACGCATTATCAAACATTAAGAGGCCTGTGTACCAGCCATAAAAATGAGTAAACGGGGCATAAAAATGAAGGAAAACGGCTTAACTGAAATAAATAAAATTTTGGGTTTTGCTTCAAAAAAAAAGGCTTTTTATCGCTATGTTTTTATATTTTTGAAAAACCAAAATTTTTTTTTGTTAATTTGAAAATGATACGTTTATTTAAAAAAATGCAGCAGTGCGGCGTTTAATATGATTTTTCTTAATATATGAACTAATAATGTATTCAATAAAAATGAATGTAAGTCCTACATTCCATGCTTCAAAATTTTCAAAAAAGTAATGACCAAATCAGAAGACGCTCGAACTTTCCAGCGGATCTGACAACGTCGATGTGAGGGAGCCGCCATTAGCGGCACTGTCTGGCTAATGTTTTTGATGTTAGAAAAGAATATATTCAGTTTGATTATAATTATCGTCTGGCGCGTGCCACCAAATTACGTTCGTCGATTACAGAGTTGGCTGTCGGGATTTTTAGTTTTTTCGTATATTGTGTTAGTTGTTGTGTTCTTTTTAATTATATTAATTAATAATTTTCTGTTGTTCATTGTGTGAGACTAAGTGTAAAAAGTAGTGTGAAAAACAGTTTTAATTATAGTTTGCTTTACAAACGAAGACCATGGGTCGCGTACATCGAGCAATAAGACAAACGAGGGAATCTAATCGTTATGAAAAGGAGACCAAAAAAGTGGCCTCTGATGGCGGACATATCCGGAAATGCAAATGCGCCAAATTTAAAATTTCATGACACTTGACAATAATCATACAGTGGTGTAGGGTGTAGTTTAATTGTGTGTAAAAGGGGACTAGTCAATGTAGCTGAATTTGTATGTAAAGTTGATTGTTCCAAAAGAGGCACTTACAAAATAGTACATAAAGTTTAGTGTAAAAAGGTATATGTTAACATATTCCTTTTGGCACTGCCCATATCAGTATTTCTCTTAGTGAATAATGAGACAACTTGACTTGCATCCT